TGTGTGTGTGTGTGTGTGTGTGTGTGTGTGTGTGTGTGTGTGTGTGTGTGTGTGTGTGTGTGTGTGTGTGTGTGTGTTGGGGGGGTACCAGCTGGTCCGGCTGCTCCGCCCCCAACAGTGACACAGTAACTGGCATGGCCATCTGTCCAGCCACACACAGATTAGTGAAGGTGTACAGTAGGTGCCACATGGCCAGTGAAGGGCTGAGGGGGGAAACACTTGAACGCAGACAACAGAGAGCAAAGTTCAACAGCACCCTCACACCATGTTCACCGCGAGAGCTTGTGTGAATTAACGTGTCCACACTTTGTGTTTACAGCTAATTTTCAGAAAACTTGTTGTCCACACTTAAACACCAAAATACAGTTTAATCTCTTTGTGTTATTAAAAAGTTGATATTTTTAAATGTCACTAGCCTCAGCTGTTTTTTGGAAAATCTGTGCATATCAGTTTAACCCTTTACGTGTCTTTTTTGCACAGATTTATGTGACTTAACCGTCTGAACTCCAAAACCTGCTGTCAGTTTTAGAAGGCATGTTGTTTGTTTGTTTGTTTGTTTGTTTGTTTGTTTGTTTGTGAATAACCTAAATTGCACCATTTCCTATAGCCAGAAACTGTAAAAACAAAGTTTCTACTTTTTACTGATTCTCAAGCTACTCATCTTTGACATGCCGTTCCAGTGGACAATAACAATAATTTGTTCACAAGCAGGTTTAGTCTAGCAAATTATTGATCGAGGCTTATTATTTAGCTAAGTTAGCTAAGGCTGATTATTACTTAAAGGACATTTGGTGAACGCACTCTGTGAATTTGCAAACTTATGCTTCATTTTGACTGGTTACAGCGCAACTGAGTGGTCAAATGCTACAAAATAGTTTGTGCCTCGTCATGGAATCCAAACTCACATGTACCAAGTTTGATTTTGATAAGTATTTCTGAGCTATAACCTCCATATTTGGTTAGTTGTGTCACTTTCCAAAAGCAAAAATCCACATTATGAGCCTGAAGGTTATGTTGCCAAATTTGGCTTCATCAGATAAATTCCAACATGGCATGAATATAAGTCACAAAGTGCGTTGACCTCGACTTGACCCAAGGAATCAAACTCTGCCTCGTTTGTGGACAACAGACATATTGTTCAGCACTGAATTGCTCAAGACATAGACCCCAAAATATAATGAGTTTTTTCTTTGTCCGTGCTTCATCTCTCCACCAACTTTCATGAAAATCAGCCCAAAAGTTTTGTCATTTGCAGCAGTATTATGATCAACCACAGTATATTAGTTTAGAAAATGAATGAACCATCACGAGTGTTGGAGGCAAAAGAAAATTGGATTCTCAGTTTTGCTGCTAGTGTTCGTGTTTATGAAGGCTGACAATTATACATGATACATGATGTATTTGGAAAGGATCGCTTGAGTCGGGTGGATGGAAGGCCAAAAACAGAGAAAAAGATCTCGACTGTAAAGGCTCATGCATGCCTGCAGTTTCTTGTAGACAGGTGCGTAGGAGGAAATATCTATTGGTGAGAGAGGAGAGAGAACTCCCACACACCGTCCTTTCACTTGCAATGAGCTTTATTGGAAATACAATTTTTCCATCCTGAAGCCTTCATCAGGTAAAACTGAGGGACAAAGAGCCTGGCGGACAGATCTGGCCAACATTTTTTCAGGTGAAGCCAGTCAAGGACGATGAGCCCTCAGGTGATCTGTCCCGACTGAAATTAAGAGAATTAATCATGGTAAAAGCAGATTCTACTTCAGCATCCATTGTACGTTCAGATTGAACAACAGCTCGCCTAAACACACACACTCAAACACACAAAGAACAGGGCTTGACTAATTAATAATGAATAAAGCCTCTGGCAAATTGAATTTTTAATTTCTCGTTTTAGTCTCGCCCACATTTTGTTTTGCCTCTCCTTTAGTCATATCATTTGTGATTCATTTTATTACGGATGTTCAGCTTTAATGTCGCCACAATTAATAAAGTAATAAAATTAAAATGCTCGTGACATCGTGAATCTCATAACATACATCACCAGCACCTGGTTTTATGTCCCTCTCGCGTCAGGTGCAGTCGGTACTGAGTTAAATGGGCTGGCATTAGAAAGCACTGCCAGCCTGTGTGCATTAGTGTCCATGTTCACGATGCATATCTAATGAGCTTCTACAATAGTATTTTACTGTGAGCTGGAGGACTGACTGCAGAGCTGTGGAGGTCTGGCTGTGATTTATGAGCGTGTTTGAGCCGTATTTAGGAAGTCAGTGAGGCCGAATTGGCTTGTATTCATCTTTACATCTGGGTTTCACTGGTGTGACTTAATGAAGTGAGACAACTTAAATTCACTGTAGTTTTTAAAATGAAGTGGTTGAAATCTGTGGACTTCTCTGTGGTTTTGTGAGTGAGCTTTCTGTGTGCTTCATTCTCCCTGTCTGTCTATCTGTCGGGCTTCATGTTGAAATGTCACTATTACATCTAATTCGAATATGAATCTGTAGACAGCAGCTGTCGAAACTACTTTAAAGCAACTATCTATCGGGATTTGGCTCTCTGACTGCATCTGAAGGTGCATATTAATATTTTGAAGTGTCTAACCAGGGTCAGAAAATATTCATATCTGCACAAGCTCAACCAGACCAAGGTATGCCATCCGAGTTAGACTGTCTGATATTCAAACTTTTGTCTGTTTTGTAAAGGCTCGCCAGATATCATCACACTTACCCAGAACCCAATGTGACACCATTACAGTGCTTGTTTTATTAAAGCAGTAGTTCAAACCTCAAAAGTAGTCGGAATACTATAAAACTGTTAAATCATTCTAAAAGAAAGGCAGGGGATCTCATACTTGGGAAGCTGGATTCAAGAAATTTGGGGTATATTAAAATAAAAATAACACATGATTATCAAAACTGTTAATTGTTAAATGTATTGACTAATCGGTTTAGGTTTGCCATTATATACTGTGGACAAAGCAGTTAGCAGTTCATCTGTTTTCTATGAAAAAAAGGCAAATATTTCCCTCTGATGAATGCAGGAAGGGCCAACACTTTCAAAAGGAGGGACTCACATGCATTTTCACTAGCATGCACTAATATGGACTAACATGCACACATAGCCGAAACAGCTACCAAAATATAGAACCGAGAAGCAAAAATGATAACATACTCAATTTAATATACCTTTAAGTAGGTAAAGTACTTTGATAAATGAGCTAAGTTATCCTTCAGAACACATTCGTGATCAAACTTTGGGACATTAGAACATTTTTGGTGTCTTTCACCCTTAATACGTTTCTTTAGATTATGTGACTAACATGAGGTACTCGGGATGTCCGAAGGCCAATTGCAAGGATCGGGAACAATAATGGCAATTTCTGACTTATCAGTATTGGCTCATTTTTAAGCCCAGTCTTGTGTTTATATCTGCACACGTCATAATGAGAGATCCGAAGTTGCTTCGGAGCACATCATTTAAAACATTGTAGCCCAGGCTGGAGGACATAAAGTGCCATATTTCTCTGTCATGGTGGCCACTGCTAGCTAAACTTCCACAGTTAATGTACATTACATGACACAGATGTACAGAAAACAGGTTTTGCCGTCTTTTGGATCCTATGGAGCAAATGCAGGAATGCATTTTTTTTTCTCAATACAAAGCAGCACTATATAGTTGTCTAGCATGCAATATACACTGGACAGATTTTTATTAACATTAATGTACTTGCAGTGTGTATTATGTTTGAAACTTGGATTAGGACTTGGATCAGATCAAGAGTCAGAAATCTTGATCGGGGCATCCCTGCAAGATACTGTGCATAGCTGTCCAACAATCAGAATTCCAACTGTACATCCATACAGACGTTCTCAGAGCCCCCAGAATACTGCACCAATGATCGCTCATGTTTCAGTAAAATAAAATAATAAAGCAGAGCACATGATGGATGGTTCAGCCGTCTTCAAACTGTCAAGTATTCCTAGCAAATGCACAGAGCCAGTGAATATTTCATTGGGCCCAGCGGTATGGAGCGATCCCAGCAAACACACAGAGACAATGTGTAGAATAAGTGTGGAGCATTTCCAACAAATACACATTGCCAGTGGGAAGTTTAAGGATCCTGGGATTATGGAGATTTCCCAAATATTACTCAGAGCCTTTGGGTATTTCAGGGGGCTGGGAGGGTGGCACATTCACAGCTAATGAACAGAGCCGATGGCATCAATCAGCAAGACTTGGCAGACTGATGTATTTTGGTCATATTGTGCAAATCTTTAACAAGTTGGACTAATTGTGCCTTTGCAAGTCTTTACATTTGTCATTTGTGTAAGTTCTTGTCCTGGTTAAACAAATTCCACGCTCAGTTTGGATGTTTATGGAGGTTTCTGACAAGTGTTTCTCTCTGCAGGTGTTTCTCCCGGTCAGACCACCTGGCCCTGCACATGAAGAGGCACATCTGAGAGCAAAAGGAAAAGGAGTGGGAGAGGAGGAGCAAGAAGAGGAGGAAGAAGAGGAGGAGGAGGAGGAGGAGGAGGAGGAGGAGAGATAGGAGGAGAGAGGGATGGGCAGTTGAGCTACCAACCGCCCGCCTCGTTCACCCCCATCCAAAAACCAGTTGGCTCAGACAGCCATCGGAGACGGGGATAGGAAGAAAATGAGGAGTAGCTAGATTGTTGTTTTTCTTTAAAACTTACACACTCGCATTTCACAATAGGGAACACTTCACACCACTGTCTTTGAATGCATCATCCTGGTGAACCCCGACCGCTCTCATGCAGCAGCTCTGGGGGCTTGGACACTGCCAAACCAACATATACTTAACTCGCTTGATGAAACATTACGCCGCCTTCTTTTCTTTCTCTGTATTCAGTGTGTTTAAATTATTGAGTCACTTTGGACGAGGAGACAAGGAAACTTTTAAATATCCATATAGTCAGCTGTTAGTGCTTTACCGGCTTTGGAAATCAAATACTCAACTTTTTTTCCTTTTTTCGTTGTTGATGTTTCTCATACTCGGAACAAAAGAAACCACCATCTGCCACAGTCAGTTCCAGTAATCTACGTGAAGAAAACAACAATGCCAAATCTGCAGGAGAGAGACTATACGGATTGACTCCTAGCTTGGCTGACAATCGGACCCAGGGCTCTGACGCCGGGTGTTTCGGTGCAACCATGGGACCCTCGGTCGGCGGGTGCCGCTGCAGCTCTCGGGCTCTCCTCCAGTGGGTGTTTGCATCTCTCACCTTAACTGAGACGCCTGCCGCCTCCGCAGGCCATCTGACAGAAATGCGCAGCGACACTTTCTTCCCTTTTTTTCTACTTTAGAGGATAATAATTCTTCTTATTGTTGTTATTAAAAAAAAGAAAAAAAGAATGACACTTTGTTCTTTTCTCTCTTGGAGAAAAAATGTCTTAAAACTCACTGAAATGTGTTTGAGGAAAAAAAAAAAAAAAAAAAAGAAAATCTAAGATGACTTCAACAGAATGTGTGGGATGAGAAGGAGAGCGTTGTTGGTCTTTTAATCCCCATGTGCACCGACTCTTCATCTGCAGTCTGTACGCAACCAGTGGATGAACAAAAACAAAAAACAGAATCTTACCAACTCTCAGAAAAGGGATTTGTATTTTTTTTTTGACTAAAATAAAAGCAGAAAGCAGAGAGGTCATTTTTTGTCCTGCTCTTTCTGCCCTGCGATTCACTGCAGCTGAAACACAAATCCCTGTAATGACCTCCTATGGTCTACCAGTCAGGCAGAGGACTCGCTAAAAACTGGAAACCTATTTTTTGGTTTTGGGTTTTTTTCCTCTTTTTTTCCCCCCTCCTTGCTTTCTGAAAGTCATCCTCGAGCGCTTTCACAGACTCTGAGATCTCATCTCTCTGGCAGCACTGCAGGGCAAGAAAGGAAGCCCAAAGAGCTGCTTTTTGGTTATTCGCGTGGGACTAAAGACGCCAACCGACCTTCGTGTGGTGATTCTGAACAGACATGGTCACGTCGACCCGTTAAATTTGCCTGTTTCGTATCCATTGACTGCACTGACTTTTTTTCAATGTTATCTGTGCTTTTCCTTTTTCTTTTTCTTTTTTTTACTACAGCGAAAAATAAGGAAAAAAGAACACAAAGAAAAAAATCATAAAAGACTTGAAAAAACTACAAAACAAAAACAATTCTGTCTCACTCTACACATTGCATACAGAACAAGCACACATACTCCGTTGACACACACACAGACGTACACCGCAGTTCCTTTTGCTCACGGCTCCTCTTGAGATAAGACTAATAAGATTTAGGAAAAATAATTATTAAACTAATGAACAGAGTTGGAAAACAAAACACTGCATGGCAGGCTTTATTGCAAACACACACATATACACACACATATACACACAGCAGCTCATGAACACGCACACGCACACTCTTCCTGGAATTATATGTTCTGCTCCCAAATCTTTTTTCACAGTAGGAATTTAGCAACTGTTGTTTAGTAGAAGAGTATCTTAGCTCTCGGCTGGAGGTAACAAACGATTCCAAATCCTTTGAAGTGAGAAATCAGCTTGTTCTCAGTTCCAACAATCACCCACATATCCCCTGCTACAGTTTGTGCCTCTCATTTAGTCAGTGTTTTTTACTTCAGAGACTCTGGTTACATTGTTGGTTACAGTTCAGTGTATTCGTCAACGTTTTCATCAGAAATAAACTCAATTAAAACCAGTGCAGCAGATCTTCAAAAAAAAATTCTAACAACAGCAAACATGTACAATGAATACAAAGCCGGAAGCTGGCTCTTTAGAAGCTTGGTAAATCGGCTTTATAAGCACGGAAAATTGATTGAAATGTTTAGAAATACAGCAATATAACCTGTAAATCAAGCTTCCAAGCAGACTATCATGGAAATCACAACCTCCTCCTAATTTTAATCCCAACTTGCTGCTGAAATTCCATTCGATTGGACAAATAAGGCAAGACTTATTTTTAGTTAATCATAATCATCATGCAGCATGGTCCCAATACACTTTACAAGTAAAAAGTAAGGCACCAAGCAAATGAATACAAATAAACAGTATATTTCAAATTAAAGGGACAATGTAAGCATTTTTGACCACTAGTAGTGCTGCTTTTTGTTCATATTTTGAGAGACACACTTAAAAAATAGAAATATGTGAACTTTCTGAACCCTAATTTCTGCTCCTGTCACATTTTTACTCCCTGTAGCCTGATTTTTCACTGCAATATGAAGTCCTGCACCTCTATGGAAACAGCACAACCATGACTGGCAGTAAAGAGAATTCAGAAATGTGTTTTATGCAGTATGGCAAAGTTATATTACCATAAAAGAAAAAAAAGAAAAGCAGAATTTCTTTGATTATTCATTTGACAAACATTGAAACCTGGAATCAACATGTACAGCATTTTCCAAGTTACCACAGTTGTTCTAAATACTGTGGGGGAGAGACTACACAGTGTGGATTTTGGCCATTTACTTTTTAAAATGTACCTCTATACTTGTCTTCTATCTGCTAAGAGTAAACACAGCCTGCAGTTCAGCCCAGTTCATCCAAAATGTCCCAGGATTGTTGTCACGTCACAGCTGAGTCAGTCATGGCTTCTTGATTCCACTAAGGAGTGCAGAATTTTTAGTTTTTTACAGAATTTGGTTACAATAAATTTTAAATGGGTGTAATTTTGATATCACAAATTTAAGTTTAGATTTGTTTAATTTTTTAGGTAGTTAAAAGTAAATTAAAAGTCAGGCATGAAAGTCTCAAGAAACCATAGTTTTTAGGGTTCAGAGAGTTAAGAATAACTACAATGAAAGAATTCAGTTGGTAGCAAAGGCAACCTCTTACTACTTAATGCCTGTGGGATGGTTGGCTTATAGTCATTTGTAAGCTTTCTAAATAGCTGCTTTTGCTATCTTGTAGCACTGAGGCCACTTCTTTTGACCTGATGCTGACAATTTTATGGGCACATCTTCAAAAAATACAGTCAAATGAGCTGCTGAGTTTTCAAAAATACACTTTATGTTTGATGAAAACAATGACTTTTATCTGTGTGAATGTAATCACTGAAATCTCAGATGAAAAAAAAACGATAGATGAGAGTAAACTGGGGCAAACACATATCCTCAACGCCTGCTTCCTTTACTTGCAGAAAAGAGAAACTCGCCTTGCAATCAGGGCATTCAGCACCAACACTGACACCGCTGCTCCATCCACCCACCACCATGCATATGCCCCCCAGCACATGCAAACAGTCTAATACTCACTGCTGCTGACTGGTGCAGCGGGGTGAGGGTGCAGGTTCCTGAAGCTGGCGGGGGATTTCGCATCCCAGCGTGCCCAGTCATCGTGCCAGTTGGCCTTGCCAACCTTCATTAGGTGAAACAGTGAAAACATTCCCCTCCAGGGGGGTTTATGGTGTAGCTTCGAACAATCGATACCAAAAACCTCCAGCACGGAAACTGCCCTTCAGCCAGAGGCAGAGTCTCCCCGGTCAGGAGAGATCAGCAGGAGACCGCCTCCATATGAGTCCTGGGTATCGGCAGCTTTCTCTACTCGCTCTCTCTTTCTGCTAAATATGACAAGGCGACTCATGTTGGACATGAATCCAGTGTTTCACTTTTGATTTCTTTGTTAGTGGTTTAGAAAAGCTGTGTTGATGGTTGTTTTCTTCAGCTTGGATGATGCAAAGTCATGCCGCCATGTAGAGGCATGCAAAGGGATATAGAAGGAGCCCTCCTTTACAGGACGTACAATCATAGAGGGATGGGGATCGTAGCACTTTTGTGAGGGGTTTGATGGCATGAATGTGTATATGTGCGTATGTGTGTGTTCCCATTAGGCATACTGTGAGGGAAGCAGTCATTCAGCAAAGTGGTTTGTAACTGATTTTTAACTGCTGAACAGAGTGTGCAGCAACGTTTGGGGGGGAGTTAGTTGATACATTTGCTGTTGGATTTTTTTTAATCTAAGAAATGGCTGATGATATTTATTACATTTTTGTTCTGTCCCTTCCCCATTCAAAGCATTCAGAAAAGTCACTGAGCTTGATGACTTGAGTCAAATTAAAGAGATGCAAACTCATGCCTTGCAGAGCACAGACTGCAGCTTGATCCGTATTGGAAGTAGATAAATCAGACTCTCTGCCAGATTAGTTGACATTCAGTTCACATTTTTTGGAGGACACGTAGGGCGCATTATTAATGTCTGCAATTTAAAAATAATCTAAATTTATTGGGGCTTATTCTGCTCATTTGAGAATGGGTGAAAAACAGATTTTAGTACAAGCTCCTAAGAAGAACTAATTTACAGAAAATTGGGTGGTTTATTGTCTTATTGCAACGGGAAGCAAAGTTTTGCATACATGTCGACTTACGATTTTAAAAAGTGACTTAAATTGATGCGCTCTAAAGAGCTTTTGGGGTTAACACGTTGAACAATTGTGGCCCAGACTACACAGACGGGCAAATTTTGAGGTTACCAAGTGTTTGAAATGTACAGCTTGAAATAAACACAACTCATCGCTTCTCTCCTCCTAAATTAAAATCCCTCCTGACATCCGACAGATCTCAAAGTCACTTTAGATACAAATTTTGTTCCCTTCGCATCTCAGAGCCTGTCAAAGCGGGTTTTCTGTCACAGTGTTGCTCCAGGTCTCCTGTCGTCTCTCAGGCTCCTCCAGGCCGGCTAGCTGCTGTCCCACAGCTCTGATTAGCATTAGCACTCCTGGGTTCTCTTCTCTAGTTGCAGTTCAGCTAATGAGATAGCTCTGGGTCACAGGGAAACTGAGTGGTCTGGAGAAAAAAAAAACAAAAAAAAAAACAACAGGGACCTTGAGCCGGACCGATTCTAGCAGTCCGCACCCAGTGGACAGATTTGATGTAGAACAAACAGAAAATCCTGTTGGCACAGAGAAATACCAGGAGACTGTGAGATATTTGTCAAAGAGACGAAACTTTGATGAAAAAACGGATTAAAAAATCATTTACCCTCATGAATATCCAAATCATTAAATCAGCCATTGCATGTTATCTCATGGATTACAGATAAAATAAATTACCATTTATCTGCAAAGTCCCGACAGATATTTAATCCACTCCGTGTCTCCCAACCCTCCCTCTTCCTTCACAGTTAAAGCGCCATTCTTATTTTCCTCCATCCCTCCATCCTCACCCCATCTCTCCCTTTCTGTCCACAGCAGTTGTCCATGCACTATCAGCTGCAGGAATGCTGAATGCACACTTTACACATTTTGCCCAAAGATTTGCATATTTGCAAGTTAACTGCTGTGAATGTAGTAGATGTAGTGGAAAGAGCCGAGAGGCAGAGACGCAGAAAAGGAGTGATGGATGGAAGGTGGAAGGA